TGAATATTTATTGTGGCTTACAGTGCACAATGACTAGCAGAACAATTTTTTATTTTTTGAGTATGTGGACCTCAATAAAACTTTGCCCACCTTCTGGCCATCTCTTGTATAAAAGTCTAACTCCTCTACTAGTGCTTCCTTTTTGTAGCTTTTAGAGTTAGTGGTTACTGCATTGTTAAAACCAATATCATACTGAAACTTCAGTGCTGCAAGGAGAGCCGTTCACCCTGTTGTTCTCGGCTGACGAATAAATAAATGCTCTTAGAAGGACGCTGAAGGAAAGGGCACTCATTAAAAACAATTTAAGGCCCTAATGAATAAATCTGCTCTGTCAGTGTGCAGATGAAGGGCGACATGATAACCGGGCTTTACCCTAAACATTCACCAGAACAGAAGGAAGTTGTCAGATCACGTGTCTGAGCTGATCAGGAGAACACCGAGAAAATGAAACATTTAGAAAATCTAAATGAAAGTGAATCATTTGTAATTAAAAAAAAAAAACATAATCGTCTGCGTATATCAGAAACCTAAACTAAACCTGGAAATGTTGAGATTTTTTTATATCTTTTTCAAAAAGCAACAACAAAAAACAGAATTAATGTTTCCACAAACAAAATAGCTTCTCTTTCCACTCTGACTCTTTCATCTGACAAACCACTTGTGTCTTGTTGAAACATCCTTGTCTGTACAAATCCCACGCTGGCCTGTCTATCCTGCACACTTCATTTGTTCTGCATCACCTCGTTTGTCATAGAAATGTTTTTCTTTCTCAAGTATCGGCAAAAACGACTGAGTCGGATAAACACCAGAGTTCTTCACAGACACAAGTGCATTTGCATGAAGCCTCTGCCGGCAGCCAGACGGACAGGAAACACGCCTGACCAGCTGCGTTTAAAGCGAAAACGTGCGTAAAACTTTGCCGATATTCCGCCAACGTTGAAAAGACGCACAAATTTGCAATTGCGATGTTTCCCTTTGGTAAGAAATGCAATTAAGGTCACATGTGAATAAATTCGTTCACATGGTAAAAAGCGCATCGCGATCCTCAAACCACTTCCTGTTGTCTTCCTCGTGGTTGTTGTCGGTGCCAGAACACGGTTGATCATGTGATATGAAAATAGTGCTTTCCGATGAAAAATAAACTAATTTTGATACAAAGAAAAATAATTAAAAAAAATCACCCCATTCTAGTGCCAAAACTTATTAGACTAAGAGTTTTGTTTTTTTATTTTTTTAATTGGGGTGTTTCCTTTGTGTGGATTTACCTTCCACAACGTCAAATTGCTCAAATATATGGTCAATGAAAATACAGATACTATCTCTTGCTGTACAATGAGCGCCTCTCATATTGCAGCTACGGCTCAGTTACGGGAGCAATCAGTTTGAGACAAGCTCTGCCTTGTGCTCTAAGCAAAGAGTCCACAGTGTTTCACACTGCTGACATGCAAAAGAAGCTCAAAACAGGTTGTCACCGGTGGCTGTAAATCCATGACTTGAGTCCTCAAGTCATGGATTCAAACCTGGTGTCAAAAATCTTCCTCAGAGGTTTTTTTTCTCTGTCACACAGCGGCTGCAGATTTATCTTTTTCACATCTACGATGGTCGTGCATTGAGACGTACGAGCCGCACATGTGACTGGAACTGCTGTGAAATGAAATATTGACAACGAAGAAAGAAAAGGTTGGAGATAGCATCCCTCTCTTTCACTGCGTGGCATCACAGGAACATCCTACTGCTGCTGGCAATCTTGACCCACATTATCATCATTACTGATATTATGGCAATCTCTGCAGAAAGCAGCGTCCCTGTGTTCACGACAGGGTTGACTTAAATCAGGAAGCTGAAAATATGGCTGCAGTCTGGAAGACGATTTTCCTCTTAAAGCTGTGGTCATCACTGTGAGAGAGTGTGACACACTGCAGCTGTGTTTCCATTACAAATTTTATCAGTAGCTTTGTCAATAGAGCATATAATTACTGGTTCGTTTCACAAAACGGCAATAGAAACACTTTTATCGTGTCACATGAGTCACATGATGTTTCTATTGGCACAAACCCACAAAGACAAAGAAGACAGGAAGTAGCCGGAGGATCATCGTGGAGGGTGCTTCCCACGTTTGAAAAAAATTGTGTGAACAAACTTATTCAAATACAATTTAAATATTGTTTTATATTTAATTAATCAACTTTTTCAGTCACAGAGGAAGATATTAAAAAATACTTGGATGTTGTCAAACAGAAGTGTCATTTTTTTGTATAAATTCCTGTATATCAGCTATTTGTCTTATATACGTGCGTGTAGGTTTTAATCATGTTTAACATGCTGCTGATAATTCTGTCAGTTCTTTTAATCCTCTCAAGAATAAATTATTTAAGAACTGTTTCTGATTTTCTTAAGGTATAAAAACAGGTGCAAAAACAATTTGTTGAATTTTTGCTTTTTTGTTTCAGTTGTAATTTTCTCCAAATAAAAAGTTATTAGGGAAATACATCAGTAGCATTAGGATTTAGTCTTTAGGTGTTCATTGATATCACAATATTTTTTGAGTGGAAGGAGGGACTGAATGTTCTTGAGTTGCTTTTTTTTGTTAAAAAAATGTAACAATTTTTGTGAAATTTTTCTCAGACTTCCACTGATCCAACAGGATTCCTCTAGTCAGACGCTGATGGATCTCTTATCTGTCTCATAACATGCTGACAGTTTTAGCAAATATATATATATATTATATATATATATATATATATATATATATATATATATATATATATATATATATATATATATATATATATATATGTTTTTTATAAAAGCCACAAACTTCAACAAACCAAGATATGTGTAAGTCAAAAAACAATTCTTTAATATTGGATTTTTCTCTTTTTTTTTGTTTGTTTGTTTCTTGGTGCACATACAACATTCATTTCAGAGCACAGAAACACATTTAACGGTAACAAAATAATAAAAAAAAAAAACGTAAAAAAATTTAAGCCACTTCTTTGAAGAACTTTAGTCAGTTTGAAATGGAACCTTTTTTGAGGTTTTGCTAAAACTGCAACTTTTTTCAAAAGTAAAATGAGTGCAATTTCTGAAAATCCAAGGACTAACCAACTCAAACTACATTTTAAAAATATATATTTTAACACACAAACCCACTCAAACATTGGAGTGGAGGAAGGTCAGACTGTTCATCAAAGATAGAATCAAGCTTAAACCCTTGTTAAATTTTGATTAGAGATTAAGATTTTGAAGTGACAAAGGGAAAACTCTCTGCTTTCCAGTCGTGACTTGAAGTGACACAGTCTAAAGTTCACACTTATTACTTGAAACACAGATTAATATAAATGTTTTGCGTAGAGGTAGAAAATAAAGGGATCATTTTCTATACTTTTCCAACATCCTAAAACAAGATTGGGACTAAATTGTTCTCTGATAACAAAAGTCAGAAAACAAAACGATAGTGTGAAGAAAAAAAGTAGCAATTCATTTCTCTCATCTCCTAAACCCAATATTTTATGTCTCGTTTTGCGAGCTGGGTGTGATGCCACACCCTCAGCTCTGAAGCTTAAACCACATGATGCTAACAAGTCCTCACCCAATTTCTAGTTTTGACAGTTTTGCTAAATATAGTGAGTTTCTAACAATGCATATAGTATGTTTTCAAAAGTATGTGTTATTAATTATATCTACGATGTCAGCGTGCACATTAATAACTAAACAAAGGACTGAGTGTACACATAGGGCTGGGTTGTTTGTGAAAATTGATGCAATGTCGGAGTGAAAGTGTTGAGTTTTAGGGCTACTTCTGTTTCGGATTTTAAAGTTTATATCAACAATTGAGAGTGAGCATGGAATCGTGTAGCCCATCTGTTAATTTAGTCAAGTAGAGTTAGGATCAGGACTTTCACAGATCACCTCAAGTTCGACGTCCTCTCTGGCCTGGGCCGGAGTGTTCATAAAGAAATCACTCCTGCCTTCGGGTCGGTCTCACCAGCCTGCACCTCCCTGAGACGCTGCAGCAAGTTTTAAAGTTCACAGAAGTTGATGTCACTTCCAGTCGCTGCTCCCCTTTTTAAAAGCACTTTGGTTAGCGTCAGGGAGGCCATTGAAACGGATGAGCTCAGCCAGGCACCTGCTGGTGCCTCGTTTCATTCTTAGATTACACAAACGCAGCCATTCAGGAGCTCAGATCTCATTAAGCGGAGCTCCGCCGGAAGGAACACTGACGCCTGAACGCGCGCCTCCTCTCATCGCCGTGATCAGCCCCGGCTCTCGGCTCACCAGGCTGTCTGCAAACGCTGCACCCGCCTGAGCACTGCTGGCGTTAAACCCTTTCAAGGCCCCGCCACACCTAACTTGTGCAACACTATGTTCACATAAAAAAAATATTCTCTTTCATACAAAATTTTCTGACGGATCTTAGCAATACAGTAAAAAAAAAACATAAATCAAGACATATTTTCTTTTCAATACCTTAAAGCTACAAGATGCAACTGCTATAAAAACAGTAGTTTTTTCTTCTTACATATTTGTTAAAACGTATACGGTATGAGACAGATAATGAAAGAAGTGAAAGACAGTACTAGCTGCAGAAACACGCCACTAATCAATCAGAGCCAGGAGGAGGGTCTTAGTGTTGTTAATCATTGCATGCATGCGCTGCTCACTCTCTCCCTCTTGCCATCGGTTACGTTAGAGCTTCTTCCCTTGTTTTATTGTAACAGTGACTGAATTCTCTCACATTTAGAATCACGTACATGAGTGTGATTGATGGCGCCAAGACTCTCATCCTGGCTCTGATTGGTCGGAGCCGTGGATTTCTTCAGATGACATTTGTAGCACTTTTTTTTTTTTACAGATTGTCTGTGAAACAGTGACGGTTTTAACCAATGTGTAAAAACTTTATTTATATATAAAAGTTACACACTGCAACTTTCAATGATCAAACACAAATTTTCAGTTGTAGTTTGTAGTTTCCATAAGTTTGATAACCGAACACTTACCCGTGATGAGGTTGTCCACCAGAGTCGTAGGGATGCAGAAGATGCCCACCAGGAGGTCGCTGACCGCCAGGTTGAGGATGAAGAGGTTGGTCACTGTGCGCATGCATCGGTTCTCCATGACGATCAGACAAACAAGGACGTTTCCCACCATGCACAGCAGAAAGATGAAGGAGTAGGCCAGGATGTAGCTGGCTGCTACGTACAGGGAGTGTTGGTAGTAGGGGAAGAAGGTGAGGTTGGTGAAGTTGGCAGAGCCATCCAGGCTGCTGTTGAGAAGGGTTGCCATGACGGCGGACCCCTCCGTCTCCATGGCTTCCTCGCCCACGTTCGCCAGGACCTCCATCTTTTACATGTGGCAGGACGAACTGTACGGGAGCGAAACAGAGAAAACTGAGACGATTGACGGTTGACTGACGATACAGTCAGTGGGGAGAAATGTAACAGGAATAGACTAATCAAATTCTAACACTTATATTTTTAGAAATATTAGTTTCCGCTTGCAATGGCAGCTAATCTCTACCGATGTGCATCCATTCTCTATTTGAACAGGTCAGTCAGTAAGATGAATACCTGTTTTTATATATGCACACATTTTGTTTCATAGTTTGGATTTTATTGAGATTGCATGCAGCAGATCTGTGAAGAAAAAGACACTCTTTAGATCATTTTCAAACTTTTTCACAATTAAAAATCTGAAAAGCATCTATTTGTAAGTCAATCCTCCTTCACTAAGTTACATCCACAATTCTGTTGATTTATATCTCTGCAATCTTTGCACCTCTGCAGATTCACATTTTGCACAGATTTATCTGGAACCGTTTGAACTTTTCCAATTTTAAGACGTAAAACAATGTTGGACACCTTTCAAACTTTTCATTTTACTTTCTGACTGTGCACTAGGCAGCTGGTCTACTACATAAAATTCTCATAAAACGCACAGTCGTTTTAAGGTGACAAATTGTACAAACGTTAAAGTGGTCTGAGTTTTAAAATTATTATTATTATTTTTAATGTATAATCTTTGGTCCGATTTTATTTTACAGATTAGGATTCTTGTTTTAAATATTGCTCACATCTAGAAAAACAAGTCAATGCAACAATACTCCAGATTATTTCAAAACAATTTTGTTGACTATATCTTGGAGCAGACGCCATACGATGTGAAATGGCGTTAAAAGATAAACATAAACAGAAAACGTTTCACACTGTTGATGACATGCTATTTGTCATCAACATATAGCATGTTGATGACAAAAGCTAGCATCAACATGCTATATGTATAAAGCTGAGTCACTCACTAACTTACAGAAATATCAACCTGAAGGCGAAATATTTTATTCAACAACGCTTTGATTAATTTATGAACTCGTCATTATTACACTGCACCGCTTGTGTGTGTGTTATTAGCACAGAGAAGGAGAGAGAAACTTACAGCTAATTTGAGGCTAACTGCTAGCCCTGATTTGCCCTAAGAGTCACGGCAGTCCCTTCATTCGCTACCTGTCGGAGTTAAAATGCTATAACAATGCAGGTCCAGCCTTACTTTTCATTTTACTTTGTTTCTTCATGTCCTCCAGTGCCTCAGGTCTTCGGTTGACACTGAAGCTGAGAACTAAAACAGGGAGTTAATTATCTTTCTTCCTGTCATGGCCCTCCTGAACACCAGGGGGCAGCTCAAAGTTTGGATATGTCGGACTGCAAACTACTGATGCGTCTGTTCAGCCATTTAGATTAAGTTTATTGTTATCAATTTCTTATTTTTTGGTTCAGTATTTTTATTTCAGTTTCATTTATTATCAAATTAAGCTAATTTTATATCCTCACGTTACTTAATATAAGTCCTATGTTGTACTTTTTTTTCCTTTTTTTTTGCAAAAAGATAATTTAGGCAAAAGCAAAATTACTTGTGCAAAAAAAAAAACACTTCCCACCTCCTTATTTTAGTAAGATGACAGCGTAATCTATTGGTGTTTAGATTATTAATATTCTTGTCAGTTTTTGATTGATGCTGCCATTTGGTGTCTTTGATTTAATTTTCTAGCAATAATGTTTTTGTAATCCGTACTTATGGGCTGAGGTCGTTATCTGTAAAACTGAACTTTCATAATTCATCTCCCATTTTTAATTAGATAAAGTGTCTCTTTAAATTCTTCAATTTTCTAAATGATCACAAAAACACTACATTTTTTCCATGCCTCTGTGTGAAGAATGCTTTGCAAACTGTTCTATTAATACAAGTTGACTGATTTATGGTGTGAAAGAACAAAGATTCCTGGAGAAAAGACAAATGACAGCAACACTTTAGGAGTAACTCGAACAATAACGCTCTCTAACAAAATACATTTCCAATTTTACCATCTTCGCCCGCAGGCACACATCACCTCCCAGCACACTCACAGACTCATTTCACAACAGCACCATCATTGAATCATTTGACCCAAACTCAGACTGAAGATGTGCTTATCAGCACTGATGTCCTGCATCCTTCAAAAGGCTAATTAGCTTCTGGAAACAACTGTTTGAGAGGTGAAACAGCAGCAGAAGAAAAGTGGACCAAAACCTGTGGAGTTCTTAGCAAACACACCTGGAGTATGCCAAACAGCACTTCTCCCCTCGTTATTCAGGATAAGTTTCTCTTTGGTGTTTTGAAATCCTTAGAATATCTAAAACATGCGGATAGAAACGTGGTGGAGTTCAGCAGCAAGCAGCTCCTTCAGCTGGTGATCCAAAACACGGTTAACCCAGATACACAAACCCGTGAGTTTAGCCTGGGAGTCTTTGTGAGAATATAAGTTTCAGACAGAGAAATTATTTTCTTGGTGAAAGTAAGGAATCAAAAATGATTGTTTTTAACTCAATAATTCCTTAATATTGATGACAAAATACTGGTTCTATTGGCAGGTTATTACACTGAGTTACAGAGCGAGTTTATTTGAGAAGTTGTCTATGTTGTCTTTTCAACTGTATCAGGACTGTTTTGTGCCGCTGAATCCAAAGATGACATCCATTTTTCTCCATCAGGTCAGGTTTTTGTTCTAACTTGATTTAGAGAAATCCAACCTTCTGACTGAACTGAATACATGATGCTAATTAATCTCTCCCGCTTCAAAACATCAGTCCTCATAAGTGTAACTTGGCAAAATACGTGAAAGTGAAGCCCGGATTTTTATGTCTGGAACGGCTCTGTGAGGCAAGAGAAACAATAAAAGCTGAACATACAGTGTATAAAGATTTGAATGGAGCTGAAGAAGGAAAATAATCTGTTACTTCCCCCAGTGTGGATAGCTGATCTCTGTCGTACCACAAGAAAAGAAAAAAAAACAGCATTATTATTATTTTAATGAGAAACCCATTAATGTGTCCTGTTGTCCTGCTCTAGGAGTGTGAATCTGTCCATCTTGAAAGGTTCAGGCTGTCCGTATGCGCCAACACCGACGCTGACGTCAAGGTTGTAATAATTACAAGGATTTGTCCCTCTGGATTTTCACAACAGCAGCCTCAATAAAGCTCCACTGCGTATCCCTCAAATCAATGCTGAACATCTCTGCTCAGTTTTAGCACATTGGTGGGAAATTCCTGGTCTTTCCAGTCAAGTGTGAGCATGCTTATTTCTCACAGCTAAACAGCCATAATGTCTGTAGACTCACACATTCACATTCACCAGACTCCAGACTTCAAATTCAATCTTTCAGAGACTCTTTGCGGCGCCGCCTTAATCACGACTTTTAAACCCCGACCGCCTTTCACCCAAGTCTACATTTTCACCAAGACCTTTAGTCTCATTTTATTTTGTCTCAGTCGTTCCCACTGTCATTCTCAGTTATTCAGCTTTTCTCTCTCCATCTTCCTCCACGTGACTAGAATGTGCCGTGGGTTCAAAGGTCAGCCTATTCCCACTGTGACTGCTATTATTGCTATTATGGTGGTTATTTTTGTTGCATGCTTTTAATGGATTCATAGAAATGCTGAGGCATTGAATGGGCACAAGGTTTCCTGCTGATCACGCAATTATAGCAACGACACTCAGGTGATAATTGCTCCACAATCAACTGATAATCACGGATCAATACAACAGTTTGGACAAGAGGAAGACCCAAGAGGAAACTACGCAAAGCCAGGAAGAAATATTATTGTTTGGAAATGAAAGAATGGACAGTGTTAACAAATCAATGAGTAAGTACATTTATGTTTCTGGAATTGTTAAAAAAAAAAACTTTCAAACTTGACCAGTGAAGTGTTGTTTAAAAAAGTTTTAAATGACAAGAAATTGACAAATGTTGCAATGATTCAGTGTTTGGGCTTCATTCAGAAATCAGTCACAATCACAACATGATGTGTCTATTATATGCTGTACATCTATGCTGATGAGAAACAATACAACTTGTTGCTTTGTCTGTATATTTAAAGACAGCATCAGACATGTTTCTGTATCCGATGTGTTTCCGGTCCTAAGAATAATTTGAGGCTAAGAACATAATTGATACATATGTGTTTATGGAATCAAGAAGAGTTCACTTTGACCCTTTGAAGACATGAAACATGCTGCGTGTTGTGAATGAAATCACTAAGTTGAGGTTGTTTCAGTTTTACTTTTTTATTTAACATTCATGTTAGTCATTTGCTCTGGGTCTTTGTCATTATTACCAGTAGAAATGTTGGAATATCAGGTTTTGTTTTTGTTTTGGCTTTTGTTCTTGCAGACTGAGTATATATGTATAAAAATAAAAGTAAAATAATAAAAGTAAAATGTTATTTTTACAAGTGCAGTTTTCCTAATCGTGCAGCTTCCAAGTATTTCTATTGAAGTGTAAACTTTAGCACATGGTCTTTATGGTGACAGATTTTCGTACAGCTCCAATATGAAACAGTAAAATGGACTATGGACATTCAAACTATGTCCATGGTTTGAATTATTTTCAAACTATGGACATTTCTCCTAGTATCTAGCTTCTCTTTTCTTCTTCTTCTTCTGTTTTTTTTTTTTTTTTTGGGAAGAACAGCAAATAATGTGTTGGTGCATCATCACCACCACCTGATGGTGAGTCTTGTCTCATCTTTGCGTTGCAGTACAACTCAGCCCAGAAGGAAAATCAAGCCCAAAAGTGGCATCTGTTTGCATCTGTTTGTAGTATTTCCCATTTTCTTTTAAACATATTAACATTCCTCCCATTTTCACTTAGATAAGTTTCAACTTAAGGGTTGAATTATCTTGTCTTGTCCCATGATTCAGTCTGCTGCTGTTGTTCCGGAGCCGTGTGGTACCGCTGTGATGGCTGCTGTCGCGCTGAATTAAAAGGATTTCTCAAGGTTTGCAACCGTGACAGCTTTACATGGGCAGAGTCAAAGAAAAGGCCGGTCCATGTGGAGCGAGAGATCCAGCCAGAAATATTCGCAAGCATGTGTTAGCATGCGGATTGTCTGTTCTCATGGCAAAGCCTACTTCACACAGAGCAAAACCTCCTGTGCAAAATACCCCCTACTGCGGCTCTGAAGACCCAGACAACGCAAACACAAAGAGCTGTCAGAAACGCTCCTTCTCCAAAGACCAGCACTGTTTTGATCCAATTTCTTTGTCGGGTGGATTTCTCACAGGTTTCCTAGTCCTTGTGGCAATGCAACGGCCCATCCTGCAGTAATCTGCAAACAACTGCAGAATTAATTGTCTATTTCTGACGAAGACCTAAGACTCGGATATTTTGTGGTCCTACAAAAAGTGTTGAATCTTATATCTAAAAACAGAAAGTCGTTCAAAGGTACTATCTAGTCAGCGTTTTCCTATGAGCAGCCATCTTGTCACTAGCAAAGCTTCTTTGACGTGGTTGTCGTTTTTTTTTTTCTTTTTGCTACACCATTTTTAAAGAACAAAGTCCGACATCAAAGTCCTTAAGTTCATCTAAAAAGTAATATTGTTAGAAATGTTTAAAATGACTGGCCTGTCATTTTAATACTGATATCTTCTCTGGAAGTGTTGACCCTAAAAATCGATTTCATCACTTCTTAACTCCACAGAAATCTTACCGATATCGCTCCTTTTGTTAGATCGTAGATCAGTTAATATGCATTTTATTTTCTCATGTCAATAATATGTCATTAGAAATAATCAATAGCGTTTAAACAACATCAAAAAATTAGTCAATGAATATGTGCGTGTGTGAAAAAAGTTGGCAGACAGAAAGAGTTTAGGAGGAAAAACATCAACGTGGAGGTAATCAGAAGGGTAGGTGTTTTCAGCGATCATTTCCATAAAATGTGCTGAAATGTAACTCTTCATGACGGTTCTACTAGAAGTCGGAGCGGATGGCAGGAGAACCCTTCGCCCGTTCTTTTTTAGACGCGAGCGGACACATCATACGCTGCATCCGGCGGAGACATTTAAACAAGTTCATCTCCTCCGAGTGTCAAAAATCAAAAATGTCCGTTTTACGACTCCTTACAACCTGGCTGGACAAATGATTACCGACAGAACAACAAAATTTCCACAGACAAGTTGCTTTGTTTCTCTCTTAAAAAACATTAGAAAGCTTGTCGGTGTCTGAGTGTTTGACAAATTGTCTTCAATGCAACCTTTTATTTGTAGCAGTACTATTTTATGTTGGGTTTAAAAG